CATCGTATTACTATTATTTTTTTGGCTGCTGTTAGACCAGCGAAAAGCACCCTTTTCTGATGTTTCTGTAGATCAAGAGAAGACAGGGTATGTGAACTCCAATAATCTCAGATACAATGTCAATAACCTGTTTCCAGAACGTTCTTACTGCAGTACATTCATAAACCATGTGTACATATGTGCCAATAGTCTTTTGGTTACAGAGAAGGCATATGGGGCTTGGAATCATCCTTAATTGACAGCATTTTCTGGTTGACAGGTAATATCTGTGTATCATTTTATACCGTATCAATTGGTGATTGTGGTTATGCGATGTTAAGGAGATATTATTCCATATTCTCTTCCAATCAATAGTCTGCGTATAATTTTTTAGATCTGCGTTCCATACTGCAGAGATGCCAATATATCCGGTTAATTTATCTTGCAGTTTTTTATATATATATGAAGTAGTGCCGCTCACACTGTTTGGACTTAATATGACCTTAACCAATTGATGTGTTGGCAGAGGTTGATTCCAAGGAACTCCATATGTGCGCATGGCAGTACGTAGTTGTAAATAGAAAAAGAAGGAAGAGCCAGGCACATTATACGTATCTTTCAATTCTTGGAAGGACATCAAGCCGTTGTCGTTGGTTATGTCAGAAAGATAATGTATTCCTCGGGTTTGCCATTGTGGGAATTGGATTGCTTTTTTCCCAATACGTAGTAACAGGTTATGAAAAAGGGGTATGTTACTATGCCAATCTACAGACCAATTGCACAATTTCTCCACATGTTTCCACACTTTCACGGCTTGCCCAATAATTGGTCCAAATGTTTGCATACAGTCATATGGCGACATGGCAGAAAATAAGACATCACCAAGTTTAAGGGGATAGACTATACTTCTTTCAATTTTAATCCAAGGTACATTGGTGCTTTCATCAATCCAGTTTTTTAAGGCTCGAAGCGTGAAGGAATAATAATAGAGCTCGAGATTGGGAACATTAAGGCCTCCACTGTTTTTGTCATATTGTAAAACTTTGTATCTGATTCTTGGGTATTGGTTTTTCCAAATATATTTTGAAATCCTATTCTGAAGTTTGTCCCAGAAACCGATAAAGGCAACATACTAGCTAAGAAATTGACTCTTGGTAGAACATTCATCTTTATTAATTTTAATCTTTTAATTGAACTATTCATATCTTAGACTGCACTGTAACTTTTATCCATGTACTTTTTTATTTTAATGTTTAATTGACAGCACTGTAACTTTTATCCATGTATTTTTTCTTTTAATGTTTATTTTATTAGCTTTTCTTTTTAATGACTGATTTTAAATGCCATTTTCTTAATCTCTTTCATTTTTTGTAAAGCACTTTGAATTGCCTTGTGTTGAAAAGTGCTATATAAATAAACTTGCCTTGCCTTGCCTTGCCTTTATGATTGAAATTCGTCCTGCTAAAGAAATTGTTATATTAATCCACTTTTTTAGGTCATCTTTAATTGTTGTATACATTCTTTTGTAGTTTTTTGCTACTATTGTGTCTAATGAGGCATATATATCAATTCCCAAATACTTAAATTGTTGGACAATCTGCAATTCTGTATTTAAGTTTAGTTCAACCATGGCACTATTGAGGGGTAAAATACATGATTTATTCAAATTGATCTTGTAACCAGATATTGAACTAAATTGGGTAAAAATATTTAACAGCTTAGGAAGCGTAGTTGGTACCTCGTCCAAGTACAGTAGTAGATCATACGCATATAACGAAATGTTGTAGTCTGTGTCTTTTACAACTATATGTTTTACTTCTTTGGATAGTCTTATTTTCTGTGCAAGCGGTTCTAGAGAAATTGCAAACAGAAGCGCGGAGACAGGGCAGCCTTGCCGTGTGCCACGTAGAATTGGAAGTCTAGGTGACCACTGATTGCCTGTCAGAACCATAGCACTTGGATTATTATATAGGATCTTCACCATAATCATAAATGTTGTCCCAAAACCCATTATTTGCATTGTATGCCACAAAAATGGCCATTCTAGCCTATCAAAAGCTTTTTCAGCATCAACTGATAATACGGCGCAAGGCGATGTTATGTCTGCTGCAAAATGAATAACATGCAGTAGTCTCCTGATATTGTCTGATGAGAATCGGTTTTTCATAAAGCCTGTTTGGTCATAATGAACTAATGTCGGAAAGACTTTCTCCAATCGTCGAGCTATTACTTTTGCATAAAGTTTGATTTCTGAATTTATAAGTGATATTGGTCTAAAACTTGTGCATAAGTTTGGGTCTTTCCCCTTCTTGTGTATGAGAGAAATTATAGCTGTATTGATGTCCTTTTGGAAATGTCCTTCTTTAAGTACTACCTGAATCATTTCCAATAATATTGGTACTAAATCAGGCCAAAACTGGGAATATAATTCCGGAGGGATACCATCTGTACCAGGGGATTTGCCAAGGTTCATGTCTTCCAATGCTTCAGATAATTCTTTAAGTGTTATTTCACAATCTAAGCGATCAATGTCCTCAGGGGATAGATGTGGTAAATTCAGATCCACAAAGAAATGTTCTAACTCTGCCTTTGATGTCTGTACTTGAGATGTATATACATGTTTATAGAACTGTTCAAATTCATGATTAATACGAACTGAATCATAAAGGACAATGCCATCATTATTCATAATTGAGGATATTTGGGCCAGCTGCTCGTTATTTCGAAGTTTACTTGCCAGCAGGGAGCTCGGTCTACTTCCATCTAGATATTCTGTGTTTCTTACCCTATGAATCAGAAATGTAGCTCTCTTGGTAAGTAGCGCATTGAGTTCAGCTTTAACTTTGCATACTGCTATCTCTTTATCTGAATTATAATGTTCCTGTAGTTCTCTAATCAGTGATGATAATGTACATTCTAGATCCACGATTGTCTTGAGCTCTTCCCTATTTCGGTTTGAGGAGTACGCTATGGCGTTGCCTCGAACATAACCTTTTACAGCGTTCCATACATGCCTAACATCTTTAACTGAATTATAATTAAACAACATAAACTCTTTTAAGCCGATTTTAAGCTGTTGACAGTATTGTGAATCTTGTAATAATGTTAAATTGAATCTCCATCTTGCAGCTGGATTGTTCTCCTTAGAGAGAAAAAAGGTGCATACATTGGCGTGGTGGTCTGATATTGACATATGCGATATTTCAGTATTTTGAACTAAATCTACAAGTTTAGAGGAGATCAAAATATAGTCTATCCTTGAAAATGTAAGATGCCTCTTAGAAAAGAAAGTAAACTCTTTCGATATAGGATGCCTTACTCTCCATATATCTACCAACGCATAGTTATTTTTAATGGTACTTAATGCTAGGTTAGCTGATTAATTGCTTTGGGTATTCCTTGATCTATCTAACAATGGATTAATTACAGCATTCATATCACCACCAATAATAATGTCATAATTGGTCATTTCGGAAATTACTTTTGAAAGTGATTCAAAGAACTTAGGTTCATATGAGTTAGGTGCATAGCATGCGATCAAAGCTATCTTTCTATTGCAAATGACTCCTTGAAGATAAGCAATTCTTCCATCTTGATCTTGACCTTTGTTAACAATATGTAATTTTAAGTTATTGCGAATTAAAATGATTACTCCTTTAGTTTTACTGTTTGAAGATGAGTAAGCCACCACTTTATAAATATGATTCCCAATGTTATGTATATCTTCAGCTAATAAGTGAGTTTCTTGAAGAAATGCAATATCAGCCTTTTTTCGAATCAAGACATCAAGACATTTTGTAATCTTTAGATTGGAGTTAAGACCGCATACGTTTAATGAGAGAACAATTAATCTAGTCATATGTATCAAACCAAATATACTTTGTGGACTTAGTTATGCATATTTTAACGTAATTTACAATGTCATATAGCAAACCCTGATTGCGATTTGGCAAGATTACCTACATTCCCTTAATTCCCAACTTTCCTCCCTTCTCCTCACCCGAAACAACAACAAAAAACAAAAAGAAGAGGGCCAATGAAATAATAATATGCAATATCAGCAGATAAATCATAATTTCCCTCTTTAGACTCCTACAACTCCGCTCCATTTAGCAGAGCTGTGGCACGTAGAGCAGTAAGCACGCATGCTCAACATGTCGAATCAAATGTTTGGTAGTTTTGAGTACGAAATAAGCTGTTTACGTGATTCATGGAAAAAAAAAAGTAGAAACAAATATTCATGTATGATGATTTAATAGCAGTTATTATGGGCGTGTACATTTTTGCCACGAAGGGGTCGAAAGGTTGAAAATTCGAGGAGGGCACAAGGGTTAAGAGCATTCCATGGAATATAACAAAAAGTGTATCTCGAGCCGGTTTCTCAAATGTACCTACCCCACCTTTAAACAGTAGTAGATGCATTTTTAAGGATTATTCTCTAGTTTCAATTTTGGATTTGGTGCTGGGGCGTGCACTTCAGGCAGCAGGAGTGCTTATGAGGACATGTTCTAAACAAACCACAAAGGAACAGATAATTGATTTGTTTTAAATAGTTTAAAAAATAAACAATTGAGGTCTAAAACACGGGATTAACTATAGTAAATGAGGATTTTGATTCACAGATAAAACGTGTAAACTTGCTCACATCACTGCTGCTCTTAGCATTTCAATTAATAAAATATTGTTTCGTATCCTTTTCATGCCTCTTACTATACTTTTTGTAACAAGACATTGTATTAGTACTGCTCCCTTTTCCGTATACACATATAAAATTAAGAGGGATTATTTGTTTTTGAGCTGTGACTCTGAGTTAACTTGCCTTGAATTCTTTATTCCATACAAACATAATTATAAACAGCTTTAAGACACTCTAAATTCTTGAACAACAAACGTGAACCCATAATTCAAATCAACATTTTTAGCTGAGTCAACCGACTGTTGCTCACATAGTGAAATCGTAAGCAATGTCTCCTTCCTCTCAACATAATGTAACATTATTTCTGCCCTTTTTCTCCCAACAGAGATCCGTGAGGCGTTCAAAGTATTTGACCGAGATGGGAATGGCTTCATCTCAAAACAGGAGTTGGGGATGGCTATGCGCTCGCTGGGCTACATGCCCAATGAGGTGGAGCTGGAGATTATCATCCAAAGACTCGATATAGATGGTATGTGTATCTCTCTTTCTCTCATCAAAAGCCTGTTGCATATAACCCAACACATATTCTATACAGTGACATCTTTGTATTTCCTTTAGGTGATGGTCAAGTTGGCTTTGATGAATTTGTCACATTGCTTGGTCCTAAACTCTCTGCTGCTGGCATGCCGGATAAATTCCACGGAGCAGACTTTGATTCAGTGTTTTGGAAGGTAATCATTGTCATCATTATCAGTGCTTTATAAGTGTACATTTGTCTGTTCTCTGTCCTCGTTTGAGTTAGTTCTCTTCTGGTTTTTCTGATACAAAGCCATCTGTTGCAATTATAATTACAATACAGAAGTTACTGATGTAAAATCTAATAATTTAAACAAAATTATTCTTACATTACGAATGATGCTCCTCTGACTCACTCAAAAGCACATTTCCACACAGCCTTGACATACTGTATTGATCTAATGACATTACTACACTTGCAGTGTCTTCATATCCTTGCATTTAGTTACATAATCCAATAAATCAGTTCACCATGCGTTACCTTATATGCCACTATTAATTGATGTCCCACAGCTGATTTGCGTCACTGAGGTGTTCTGAGACAGAAGCTCTTCCGCTGCTAATTAGACCTTTCTTGGTGTTTTATGTGTCCCCAGTGTGACATGCAGAAACTGACGGTGGATGAGCTAAAGAGGCTGCTTTACGATACTTTCCGCGACCACCTCACCATGAAGGACATTGAGAACATCATCATGACAGAGGAGAGCCACCTGAACAGCCCAGAGTCCCACGTGGACATAGACAGTACGTTGCATACACATTCTATTACCTACATTTTTTGTATTCTGTTGAGACTCTCAGACAAGCTAATATTTTGTCTTTTAAATCTTTCCCCAGCAAGCCCAACACAACAGGAAAAACACACATGTGTGCGTAAAAGCCTGATTTGTGCCTTCGCCATTGCATTCATCATCAGCGTCATGCTCATTGCAGCAAATCAAATGCTCCGCAGAGGAATGAAGTAAATACGACTCCAGCTGGATACAGAGATACTTAAGAACGGACAATGAGAAATCAAACATTAATCAAAACACTTGTATGGTTTTGTTGAATGTTTTCAACACACAGCTTCTCTCTGTAATAGGTGCAATGATGTCATTCAGTGGTTTTATATTGCCACAAATTGTAGCATAACCTGGTTAAAAAGAAAGAAAGGCATTCCAAGGGCTGATTAGTATCCTAAAACAGTAGGTTGTGAATCAGATTTCTGAAGACATTATATTGGAAAGCAGACTTTAGAAGTATGTGCTTAGTAATAGATGTGATGTGTCTGTGTTTATCAATCAATTAATGTTGTTGATGAGAAGTCTGCCGTTTGGAATGCACCCAATAATGAAATTACTGAGGATAGTAATAAAGCAATACGCACGTGTTGATGCGCTGCATATTAAGTAGCTTTAATTCACTCTCAGCGTAATTGTTTTTCTTTTAAGTCTGTATTAGTGCCAGTATTTCCAGTCCAGAGGTCCAACTCATGTCAAGAGTCAACACATCTTTACGAACCGTGACCTAAATCTTAACAAAGGAGAAGCCACATTAATTCAAAACACAAAAGTGTTGAAAAGAATATTACAATTATTTCTACAACTGTTTAACTTCATAGCTCTTGGGATGGCAGTCGATAGTTCATCACTTTGGTCTAAACTGTATGGATGTCATTCTGAACAGACACTAATTGCTCCCAGGGAAACAATGCAACTGACTTAAGTAATCCCCTGATTTTCTCCGTGAAACCACCAGCAGATCTACGTATTCTTTTGAAAAATCTCAACATCTACAGGATGATTTATCACAAGATGTAGTAGAGACATCTATGGTTCCCAAAGGATGCACCCCCATGACTGTGATGATGCTCTGAGTGTGTCTCAGGATGAATTGTGGTGATTCACTGACATCTCATATCGTAATGTTCAAATCGAGCTCAGCTGTACTTTGCGCTTTGTGCTACTATACATCAGCATGTTAGTATTGTCAGTATTGGCCCGTGATATTCAAAAACAAGGCAGGAAAATAGTATGTTTCTCCAAAGTTTCTATTGTGACATTGAGAAGCCCTACATTTGGAATAACTGGTGAACTGCACTGTTATCTGGAAAAGAGAGGGTTTGAAGGACATGTGGACACAGCCGGTAACCCTCCATTCAGCTGAGCCCAAAGGCCCTTTCTAAATAAATCACAGCAGACTAAAACATTTACTGGTTTGATTTGAAGCCGAGAGCTGAGCTCAGTGAGATGTATTGGCTGAGAAATTGAGATGAAAATGAAACAGCTGTTTCACAAAAAATGTAATAGATTTAAGAATCAAACTGAAGTGTTTCATTCTCGAAATCTGCCAGTGATACATGCACAAAGCTGCATATTTCAAATCTGTGCAATAGCATCCAAAAAGAGACATAATGAGTCACAGGAAAGACAAGTCTGAGCTAGCATCTGAGCTAGCAGCTGTAAATAGCGTTAACCATTACAAGTCAAATGTTTAGACAGAATGACACATGACGATAAAGGATAATCAGTTCACAACACTTGCATGTACATTAAAAGTATATTCTGTGTTCAATGTGTTTGAGATCAAATGTTGAACCCTGGTGTATGTATTGAAATAATTATGCAATTTGTATAGTAATCATTGCAAAGATCTCAGTATTTGACATTTTCCTGTAAATGTCGATTGTTGTGGACGTGCAGACCATATCAAAAATACTAAATACTTTGGAGTATGCTGTGAAGAATAATTTAACATATCATAAAAAATGTTGTTTTCTGGTTTTTACATGGACAACCAAAACAACATGTTTGAAGTATAACATGGTTATATTTTCTTACTTGGAAAAGTGATACATTAAATCTATGTGATTTTATTGAATGTAAGCATAATGTTTTTTATAAAACAAATAATACGAACAATTTCAGGTTTCTGATATAATTTCCAGGTTGACTGGACATTCAGATGCAAGTAATTGTGTGTCACACACTAACATTAACATTTCTTATTTGGTAATATTCATTTTTCAAAATGTTTTATCAAATTTCTGTTGAATTCAACAAGTTTTACAAATTGCTATATATTTTTTTTGCTCTTTTTATCTTGAAGTTTATCAAAGCTATATCACGAGAGGAACGTACGAAACAGCGAGTATCATTCTGGCAATAAAACAGATATTTTATCTCAAATACAGTAGCTGTTTATGTATGAACTTATAATATGACATCACATTACCTCTTTATGTGAACATCATGTAAGGTATGGATTTTGTGTGAATGTAAAATATAGTTATTGTGTCAAATATTGTCTTAAGAGATATAAGCAATTATGGTGTCCTATTCTGTATGTTACAGTGCTTTAATGTATGTGCACTCTGTTCAAGGATTGTCTTTATTGTTATTACTTTGATTCAGACTGTAGTGTTCTGTTTGTGCCTTTGTCTTTGGAAGTAAGATCTGCGCTCTCATGCCTTGACTTAGAGTAACTTTAGAAAACTTCTAAGAAGAAATGTAAGTCCATTTTACTAAATCATTGCTTAAGACAAAAATGAATCTGATGTTTTTTCTAACTGACATGACTCATTAGTAATTCAATTACCAATAAGTATTGATGTATTAGCTTTCTCTCTTCCATGTTCTTGGTAAAGATCCCTCTCACTTCTGGTAAATGATTGTATCACCCTGCTGTTGACATTACTAGTAATTTAATGTTTAGATTGAGAATACCAAGCGCTGTTTTATTTCTGTAACGTCCCATGTAGAGATTACTGCATCAAATATACACTACTGTAAGTGTTGTCTGGATGCATGTATCCAATAAAAAACAAAGGCACTTAAAGGGGTTTTTTTCTGTGTACAAATGTGACCTTTGTTGCAAATAAAAAGGAACATAAGACCAATCTAAAAAAAAGAACATTTACTGTGAACAACAGAACAACATCATTGATACTAACATCAAGTACAGAGAATAAGTGGGTACTTTCCAGGATCCAGTTTTAAATAAATCCACAAGTTGACAACTTAAATGACTAAATATGAGTTATTCAACTTTTATAGCCTAAACCCATATTAAAATGCATCTTTTAAAGTATTATCCAAAAATATGTTATACCTAAATCTGTGTCTCTCTCACCAACATGCACTGTGTACTTGTGATATCCATCAAACTGTTTGTGTGCTTTTGTCCTCATTAAAGATTCGCAAAAACAATTTCTAAATGTTGATACAAAAAATAACTCAGTTTACATTCATGTTTGCTTTCTTCTTCACTCTCTTGGTTGTGCATCTGTCCTCATGTGTATATGATAAAACAAAACAGGGCCCCTTTAAAGTCAGAGGTATATTCTGGCCAAGACAGCAGATTAATAGTTAAATAAAATAATACAAAACCGAAATAAACGCAATGAAATTCAGCAAAACCCATTATGAGAAATACATTAAAGGGACTTTATAAAGGCCAAAGACAATTACATGTATCATAACATTTGAAATGCGCTATGATAACTATGAAAGATTTTAGTATACAAATTAATCGAGATCATTAGGTTGCCATCTTTACTATTTAGGAAGTAGAGTAGTGTTTTGGTGCTGGCTGGGTTATAAATTAAAATCTGACAGATCATTGATTCCCCCGGTGACGTGGCAGAGGATTAAAATTTAACAATAAAATAATTTCCATCTGCTCAGCAATGCTCCATTCTTCATGACATCAAATGTAACTCCTTAGGGGAGTCTCATGGTAAAGGCACTCGACTTCACATTAGCGAAGCAATCAACAACAGACTGCCAAAATGTAAATCATGAGATTCATTATGCACCGCCTGTATGTCATTCCAGGTTTACCTTCCTATGTATGACTCAATTAAATATCTCATTTAAAACTAAAAAAAGACATCTCATATGTATTCTGTACATTTCATTCTACCAATGTTGCACACCAGCTTAACAGTGATGTGAACCACAAAGTGAATATCAGTCAGCCCCATTCTGAGTTCACTTTGCCTTTCCATCCGCTGGGAGGAGGAGGAAGAAGAGAGGGCGGGAGATCATGGACGGAGAGGAGCTGTGGAGGTATGTCACTTTCTTCTTGGACCTCTTCACTGTCGTCCTTATCTTTTAGATCTCTGAAGAGATAAATAATTAAAAAGTTGAATTTTAAATGAAGACGAATCATTAGCAATGTATGAATAAGGGTCAAAACAAAAGGTGAAGGTGCATACCCCTGGTTACCGAGGGCACTTCGCCTCTTTTCCCTTCTGGAGAGCCAGTCCTCTACACAGCGCCCCGGCATCCTGCTGTCTTCAGCACCCTCTCTGAGACGTCTTTCATCTGAAAGAATTCAATCGTACTCCTGTCAACTAGAACCTGCCACATATTTTAATAATCAAGTGTCATTCATGCAAAAATGGCAAATAATACTATTTGCATCCCCATAAAATGGAGAATCCTTGCTTTTCCTCAGTTTAACATAATATTATACTGAATTAATTTTAGTTTTGGAGTGACAAAGTCCAAAACATTACTTTGGACTTGAGAAAAACACATTTTTCACTATTTATAAAGATTATTGATGATGATAATAATCATTTCTTGCAGCCATACTGTCAGTCGATCACGACCAAATGCGCTTGACAATTTAGTGTATAATATTATTTATTTTTTAGGGAATGCATCAGGAAATGCTAACCCTAGGTACCTTTTGTTGAAGAGGGTTTAAACCTTCCTTATGCAGGATTACATTTAAGATATTAAAAATATGCAATGTGTTGGCCATTGGTAAGATGGTTGTTAAATATTGAATGACCACCTACTAATTCAAGAATTATTTAGATAATATTATATATAATTGCCAATGCCATGTGTATTAAATGTGTAGCACATTGTTTGTGAGGAACTGTGTTGATTTCCTTTAAAAAACATATCTTAATCACATGGTAAACATCATTTCCATTTGGTTACAGCTTACCTTCCACCTGTCTTTGTAGGTGAAACATATCTTCTTCAGACATGTGAGAAAACCTGCAGTTAGGGCCGAAATCACATATTCCTGAAAAAGGACAGGGAAAATAATTATTATTACAATAACAAAACGTGCATTTAATATAATTTCCTGGTCATTGGATAAATGTATGGTTGAATTGCTTTAAGTTACCTTTTTGGAGAAACTTCCTGCAGGGTTTCTTTAATTGCTCATCACACAGAATAGCTGAGGAGTCTGTAAAAACACAAATGATAGTGTTGTCAATGGCTGTATATATAACCTTCCATCATAATATAAGCAGATGGCCAGCCAATATGACATAATGAAATGTAAGCAAGCTTAATTCTCCAATCAAAATCTCAAATAGGTTGAAGAAATAGCATTCTAAATAGTAATTTGTAATGTTTAGGATCACTGTCTAGTCTAAAACAAACATTTACAATCACATCTCTCTCAGGTCTAAGGACAAACTGAAAGTCTCACCTCTGAAATAGTCGTACCAGGCCTTTTTAGCTCTGTGATGCTGAACACCAAACAAATGTTTCTTCCTGTTGTGCATGTTGTCCTGAAAGGACCGGTCACAGTAGTCACAGTAGTATCTCCTTCCCATGGTGCAGGTTATGTGCTCAAACCAGCAAGATGTCACCTTTTAAATGGCTATGGACAGTAAAGAGAAACAAAACACATTCACATAACTGCTGGATCACAACATGGTGAGAGAATAGCTGTGCTGAATTAAATTGTTCTGTGTCGTACATTAATTGACTGTCATTGTGCACACACTGATCTATTAACAAAACATGTGGTCTGTCCAGAATAAAGGGCGTTATAGTTCAACTGCACGTGTACAATTAACTATTATGTTGTTAATCCATTACTCAACTATTCTCTTCAGGACTGAAAAGCCCCCACAAAAAATAAAAATGCCATCCTGATACAGTTAAAATGACATAGCCGACCCAATTTACAATTCACATTTGTCACAGAATTATTTATTTTTTCCATTTCAGAATTGTGCATCAATGCAAGTTTGTTAACATCTACATAATAGCAATTAGCATGTCATATGGTTGTTTACTTTCGGATCACATACTCTTATAATTTTCATGAAAAAATATGGCACAAGGCTTAAAATGATTAAATGGGAGGCAAAAACAGGAAACAACCTGATCTAGCCTACAATCAAGAACACCAGGAACATTATCTAACGTTTACTGCTATCTGCTGGTTTGGTCATGGAAGTGCCTTTATTTTTAATAGTATCTGGTATGACTTCCTATTCCACTGTGATGATACAAATATGAACATATTAAAGGTAAAATATTCTGAAATGTAAACGTGCAGTTTGATGCTCATGTAAACTCTCCCCCAATAAGTAAACGTTAACATCCATAATCATTGGCTCATAGCATTGTTCAATGAGAATAGTTATTTTAACGTTACATGCTTATTGTGACATCCGTAAACGTTAAACCCTGTGTATATTACATTTAAAAGTAAAATACAACAAACCATTGGCGAACCATGATGTCATCCTCCGTGCTGTTTGCTTTGAATCCACATTGTGTAGCAAACTGACGTGAAAAACAATGAAATCTTACAGTAATGCTATGCTAATCGTTTGCTAACCATTCCCCACTGGGGATACGGTGTCTTCGCAGGGTCAAAAAGCGAATCGACCCACTCTTGGGCCGGAAGCGTGTCACCTCAGCTTCCGTCAATCCACCGAAGACATGTCGCTGGCTAAGTCCGTCTACAATCTGCTCTTCAGGAGAACGTCCACTTTCGCCGTGACCATCATGGTTGGAGCGGTCTTCTTTGAACGACTGTTTGACCAAGGAGGTGACGCAATTTTTGAGGAACTGAATCGCGGGGTAAGTGTTTAATTTTGTGTTATAATGCCGGTGTTATCCTGACCTTGCAAGCAGAGGGCGAAACAGCGCTAGTGTTAGCTAAACTAACCTAGCCTCCCTGCTAAACCGAGCATTTGCTTCCTTTTTTACAAACTATTACAACCTCATAAATGTTGTAACCTACTTACCAGGATATATTTTACATTGTGTGCACTTTTTTAATGTATAGTACACTATCTTTATACGTTTCTGTCCCTTCAGTAGATTGGTATGTTAGAGTATTCTAATGTATTCTGTATATTTAATAGTGTTTAGAAACTCTTCTTAATATGTATTGTTTCTAATGAGAATATGTATATATTGTTTTTATTTTATTCGACTTTTAACAATTGTTGTTATTCTTGTACATTGACAGTCAAAATGCTTCTGTGACAAAACAATTTCACAACTTGGGATGAATAAAGTATCTGTTTTTGTTCACATGACAAGTCTAACGTTGCCTTATATGTACTTATTTTTTAGAAACTGTGGGAACACATCGAACACAAATACGAGATCAAGGAGGAGGAATAGGTCGGGTTACCTAAGGCTGAAGTGCAACTGTTGTCACACTTCCATTCTCCATTCTTCCTGGACTCCACACCTGAATCAATCATCAGTCAACATGGACAATGTGCTCAAAAGTCATGCCAGGTGGGACCTGTGAGAGCCGCTTGACTGTCCAGACCACCTTGAAGATGGAGCAAACGGTTCCTGTCACCTCGTCCCCTCCTTCCTGTTGTTAGATGTAATGTCTACGTTCCCCCCACATATTGTAAATGCTTAAATTAAACATGTTAATGACGTACAAACCTTGCAATGTTTTTGATTTATCATATGGCTTGCATATGTCAAAGCATCTTAGATTAGTTACTGGGGTGCCCACACTTTTTTGGCTGGTGAGCTACTTTTGAAATGACCAGCTCACTGAAGTCTACCAACCAAAAGTAAAATCCCAAATTGCAAGGGTTGCTGAATAACACGTTTATTTATACATGGGATAATAGGGCTGCAACAAACGACTAGTTTGATAATCGATTCATCTATTGATTAATGAAACGATGAATCGGCTATTCGGACTATTATGCCTTGCACAATTTCTCAAACGCTCTTATTTAGCCATCAACTTTTAGATTTAGCTTGAGGTTGTTTTAGGCATGTGGAAACTAACAATGAAGACAATAAAGATGAATACTTGATTCAAAAATACATATATTATTAAATTAACTTAACAAATTGTTTACAAAACTAACATTGCTTTTTATTTAAATTAAATAAATAATATTTCACATCAAAAGAAACAACAGTGTTTTAACAAATCGTATTAAATAATCTGATGACAGAATAGCTGAAACTTTAACAATCTAAATAACTCAGTTACCTCTAATCATTAACCCATGTTTGTATAATTGAGTTAACAAAGTACTTTTGTTTGACTTACTAGCATTTTCATAAGCACCCACTCTAGCCACATTAGGTCATCTAAACCAAGAGGATCAACTTCAAATCAAATGAGTATCTTGTAGGGCTGCTCGATTATGGCAAAATCATAATCTCGATTATTTGGGTCAATAATTGATATCACGATTATTAAAAACGATTATCCATTTACTTTGAAAACATCAATTTATTGGAGAAAAAAATGTGAACAGTATGTTTTTAACAGTTGGTTACCCTGAACTTTAACTATAATTCAACTGAAAAACCAATACAAAAAAAAGTTATAAAAAAATAATCTTTTTATTTCGATTACGTTGTTTTCGTAATCGTTGCAAGCCATAATTGTAATTGCGATTAAAATACGATTAATTGAGCAGCCCTAGTATCTTGATAAAATGACTGAGAAGGATTTATAGCATTATATAGTTCTTGAGTCTAGTCTTTATTATAAAAGTATTCAGTGGTTGTATACATTGTGTCCCCTTCATGTCAGTTTTATGTATATTTAGTGTCATTTCAAAGATAAGGTTGTACAGCTTGGTTCTCTGGTTTTAAACATAAAGGAAATTAAATTAAAATGTACAGAAACAGAAGTCTGTACTATAATGAAATAGCCATATGTTTTTAACCAATCCTAGTTTCCAATAAGCTGTAGTTCCTTAGTTCCTCACCCAGTAGTGTTTATACCAAAGAATAAACATAACGCTTGAATGGAGCTGAGATATCCAGTTAAATTGTATTTTATTAAAACAGGCTATACAAAAAAAACATGAATGAGAGGTAACATTTGTATGGACCATTTCCATACAAGGAACATATTAAAGCTGGATGATAATTTTGGCCCAAACAAGAAGAAGTATTATATAGAAACGGTAGCTGCCACCTTTTAATTTGCAATGTCAAACAATGCCCGTCAATAGTGAAAACATCTTGTAAACAGGTCAGGTAAGGTCACTACTGTTCAAATCAATTACATGTAACTGCACCTGAGACTCAGGCCTATAGGGGGCACACTAGCAATGTATGTCCCAATGAATGAGAAGAACACATTTAAAACAACATTATAGTTAGCACTGACTGTATTATGTCCCATCCTGGTATTTTTCCTGTGAGCTAAAAAAAAAACGTAATAATTTGCCCTTGCAGTGGATGTAAGGGAAACTTCTGCAGCAATGGAGAGTTAGGACTCAGAGAGACACGAGGAGAGTTGGAGCTTTGATGTCAAACACAGATCTTTACTACAAGCATCGGCCGGAGAAATTCACATCACAAGTCACACAGTCAAAGGTTCTGACTGCACGGGTGGGTTGCCATGTCAAATCTGATCCGCCTCGCATCTTGGTAGACCCTTTAACTAGTTTACAGAGAGTCAACCCACATATTGGGGGGAGGTACATGAACACCTGGGAACAATGGAGATGTCTTTGACATCCGTGGTGCTTAGAAGCCCGCGTTCTCACAGTCGTAAAACCCCCCCTGTGCCCGCCAGGTCAGGCCATAAAACCGGGTAGTATCAACACGACTCCATTATCACATTCCTTACGGGAGATTAAAAGCAGGGATGGTCGTAAATGTCAACACACAGAATAGGTTAAATATTTAGAAGTAAAGACAGAATTATTCCCTAACAGTGGACATATTATAAAAGCAAATAAGCTTTGCCCATTAGTGCTGTGATACATACATCTCAAGTATCATGTTATTTCAAAGGTAGGTGCAATAACAAAGTGGTCTCTAGCTTGCTGCTAAACTAAACACGTAAAACATTTTAGTCCAATTCAATCTCCAAAAACGGTATCTTTGAACCAACCCCATAGTCTAGTCAGCCACAGGCTTACGCCCAGCTGTGACAAGTATTGTATTTCAGGTGTGAGCATTTTTTCACAGATTTCCCTGAATTGTGGATCAATATTTTGCTTCACGTTGTACCCAAGAATGGAAGACTCTCCAACGGGCTGCCAGGGCAGGAAACGACTGTCGTGAATATTTTGAGCTTCCACTGAGCCTCCATCTTGAATACAGATGGCCTTCATCTCTGCATTTCTTCTCCTGAGCTCTTTTACCTCTTGTTTCATTCTTTCTCTCCCATACGCCTCAACTCTTGCCCAGAAAGTAGAATTAAAGTGCTGATAGAGTCTCCAGTCAGCCCCGTTCCACTGTAAAGCTTTGGCTCTCAACTCTGGGGTCAGTCGAGATACAGATGATCTCCTGCGAGCATTGAGTTTAAAATACAGTATGTCCTCCATGGTCCAACACAGTGTGTCCTTGAGCAGGATAAGTGACTCATCAAAATATTCTGCTACAAGAACCAAATCAAAACGTGTTGATAACTTATGAATATCCCTCATTACACGAGGATCATCACCCTCCAGGTTGTTGTCAAAACCAAAGTCAAAAAAGAGCAGATTTTTGAGGTAGAATGAGTTGAAAGCCTCTGGACTGTAGAAGGTGTGAGGATTGTTCAAAAACTCCACCAGTTGGTTCTCTCCATTGATCCTCCATGTGAGAGGAACTACTCTGTGATAATAATTGAAAGATGATTCAAAGAGATCCACTGGGTCACGTAAGATGGTGATGTAAACAGCATCTGGAGGCAGGAGCTTGGCTACTTCCTGATGGGCAAAGCGCATGTGGTTACAAACAATGTTGAAACAGTCTCCAGGCCTGTAGTCCTTCACCTGGGAGCAGAGGAAAGGTGACGGGTAGAAGAAGTCATTGCGGCCCTCAGGGAAGGCGAATTTAAGCTTGTGCTTTTGTCCAAATCTGAAGAGGATGTTGAGTATGGTGCTGCTGGCAGTTTTGTGGGTTTTCATGAACATGATGTTTACTTTGGGGGAGCTAACTTCTGACGTGCTGAGAGATGGTGAGCTTACATTTTTCGTCAATAATTTCACCATACTTAGAGGACATGTGTCTTGCTGGGAGTCCCTGTGAATAAAATATACAGGTAAACAAACAGATGAACTGATTTCACAAAATAAAGAAAGGCTTTACTTTAAAATCCTTACCTAATCGTAACTTGGGTTAGGTTCGTGAGGCAGTACAGCAACAACATGATGTTGGTCAATAAAACCGAGAGAATCAGCCTCCTGGTCATACGTGTGCACTTCTTTCCTTTGATGGCAGACATCACTAATACCCAAACAAGGACCTGGAAATAAGATGAAAGGGCATGCATGTATAAAAGACAATCATAACAGCATTCAAAGATTCTATACACAAACCCATGTTGCACTATGCTGTGAAGTGTTTTTCTCATACAACAAAGCTACACAAAGCTCATAAACACTCGTAATACCCTGGGGAAATTCTTACACACAGGCCAACTAATAACGCCCTTAGGTCACAGCAAAGTAATGATAATGCAATTATAATAATAATAATAATAATAGCTTGGATTTATATAGCGCCTTTCAAGGGACCCAAGGTCGCTTTACAAGTAATAGGGCAAAAACAAACATAATAAAACAAAAATCAGACAGACAAAACAACAGATGGGACTTGAGGGCCCTTTTGAAGGCATCAAGTGTGGGGATGTTGCGAATCTCCGCAGGGAGAGCGTTCCAGAGGGTGGGGGCTGCCACACTGAAGGCTCTGTCCCCGAAGGTTCGCAGTTTGGTGCGGGGGGTGGTAAGCAGGCCAGAGTCTGAGGACCGCAGGTTCCGGGGTGGGGCATGTGGGTGAAGGATGTCCGATAGGTACTGGGGGGCAAGGGCATGGAGGGACTTGTAGGTAAGGAGGAGGACTTTGTAGGATATGCAAGACTTGACCGGCAACCAGTGTAGGTGAATGAGAGTGGGAGTGATGTGCTGCCACGGCTTTGTGTGCGTGAGTACGCTAGCAGCACAGTTTTGGACATACTGGAGCCTGTCCGGAGTTTTGTTGGGAACCCCGAACAGGACACCTTTGCAGTAGTCCAAGCGGGTGGTGACAAACGCATGCACTAGGGTTTCGGCAACCGACTCCGAGAGTGACGGTCGGTGTCTGGCAATGTTCCTCAGGTGGTAAAAGGCCGATTTGGTCACAGATTTGACGTGGGAATGGAAGGAAAGGGTGGAGTCGAGGATGACACCCAGGTTGCGGGCTTCAGGAGATTCCGGGGAGATAGAGCAGCCGTCGACCTCGAGGACGAAGTCACCAACCTTCTGGAGCAGGGCCTTGGGTGCCACAACCATGAGCTCTGTTTTATTGCTGTTCAGCTTAAGATAGTTGGAAGACATCCATGTTTTGATGTCATGCAGGCAGTTGATGAGAGACTGAGGGGGGAGCTGGGAGGATGGGGTGGTGCTGAGATACAGTTGGGTATCATCAGCGTAGCAGTGGAAATTGAGTCCATGATGTCGGATGATCTGGCCGAGGGGGAGCATGTAAATGGTGAACAGGAGGGGGCCAAGCACAGAGCCCTGGGGTACACCGTGGTGGACTGGGGCCAGGGGTGAGTTTGAGCCACTGATGGATACAAACTGTTTCCTGTTGTGGAGGTAGGATGTCAACCAGGACAGCGCTGTGCCAGTGACATCTAGGAGGTATGAGAGGCGGGTGAGGAGGATGTTGTGAGAGATGGTGTCAAATGCTGCAGAGAGGTCCAGGAGGATGAGGATGCTGAGGCGGCCAGAGTCAGCAGCAATGAGGAGATCGTTGGTGATCTTGATGAGGGCGGTCTCAGTGCTGTGTTGCTGTCTGAAGCCGGATTGGAAGGGCTCATAGAGCTCATGGTTGGACATGTACAGATGGGAGTATAGAGAGTCCAGGCCTAATCCATTTCAATTTTATATAACCTACTATTCATTTCTAACAGAAATAAGAAGAACTTTATAATGAAAAGGCAAAATGAACATAGACAAGAGATCATGCTGATTAGCAAAAAACTGCTGCATCATTCTTTCTCTCAGAATAGCCCACATGTTTATACTATAAACATGTTTACAGTGCTAGAATTCCCTTAGCAACACAGATGGAAAGACAAAAGATACACCAACATGAAAACTACAGTTAAGGTACAAGCATTTTATAACAGTAAAAACTGATGTTAACATGGTAAAAAAGGGGACAATTCTAACGTTTCTACAATTCACACTGAACAGGTGCTTACTTATTATATCAGATAGGAACGGTACAGTATGGCCCTTGCCATAACAGCTCTGATTCTTATCTCTAACATTGATGTTCATTTTTCACTTGTTTGGCCCCCTTCGTTGAAGATATCCTACATGTGCATGTCCCATAGACATAGAGTTGTTCTAATTAATTAGGGAATTCACTTGTTTAAAGCTTACAAAAATGCAATATGTCCTTCCTTGAGATAACAACTCTGTAGATCCATTATCCTTAAAACCAATATTAACTTATTTTGATAACCAAATAAGCTAGGATATTAACAACACTGTAAATTCAAGAAGGATATAGCATATGGAATAAGAAAAAGTAAAGATATTTTTTTTACCTGCAGATGACAATGTTGGAAGTGTCGATGTGAGTATTTTCTGCAAGGTGAAAGAAACTACTCTTATCTGATTGGCTGTGAGGACTGAAGGAGTCAGATGTGATTTCTCCTCCCACAGGGGCAGGACTGGTTTGTAAAATAGTCTACATACTTCTAGATCACTATGTCCTGTACCTTTTGAGGTATGGCAGGAAAATAATTCCTTTAAAGTCAAGTATCTTAGTACCATGAGGCCAAAACACCTGGCTATGTGTACAGAGCATGCATCAATGCTTTGTTTTAAATAATACAAATGTATAATGTACAAAGTTGAGGCACAGAAACAGAGCAGCGGTTCCCAACCTGTGGGCTGCGGCCCGAACGCATTGCAAGTGGGACGCCAAAAAATGTGCAGAACATTATGATTTGTATGGAAACATTTCATTATTAAGGTATATTTTTATTTGAACCTCCTTTCCTTTCTCTTTCTTGATCCTCCTTAGCAACGGTCATTACAGTCCTCTACAGCAGTCTGTACTACTGGATTAACAACGTGTCACATGTTCTGAATTGACCAACCAGAACTTTATTTAGCTTTCCTATTGTTTATTGTTGAATGTGGGCCGGGAACATTTTTTTTATTCTTAAGTGGGCCCTGAGTTGAAAAGGGTTGGGAACCCCTGCTTTAAAGTCTGTTTAGTTCATTTCAGGCCACGGTTATGTTTTCATAACAGTGCAACTAATATCCGTGTATAACATCTATCTGCATATAGAGCACACCCAGCAGGCCTGCTCGTTCTCATCACAGCTGTGTGTTGTGGTGGTTTTTTTTCTTTCTTTAGTCTCCAGATACCTGGCCTCAGCTGCTGTTGACTTTGGCAGGGGCTGAACATTTAGTAGGTCACATCAGTTCTGGCACGCATCAGTTTGTCTACGAGTGTTTCTGTTGCAATGGTCGTAGTTGTTATCATTGACATCTGAATAAGTTCTGGCACGCATCAGTTTGTCTACGAGTGTTTCTGTTGCAATGGTCGTAGTTGTTATCATTGACATCTGAATACATCACTGAGGACTACCAGATAAGTGTCAGTACGAGAAAATCAGGATTGCGTTTATCAAGTAAGAGCTAGCAGAAGCTGGAGTTTATAGACCTTTTAAGCAGGAACAGACCATATTAAATGATTACGTAAATCATGTTACTTTTCTGTTCTTAAAGATCCTTCCCCAACAACTAAGAAATCAGCCTCTTCATAAATGTCCAACTCCAATATCCACAGTTGCAACATAAACACAATTCAGGTTTCTTTTAATGTAACTGTATTTAAATTTGCCTTATTAATTACACATCAAAAATAAAAACCATCAGGAAATGCCTTCAAGTAAAACCAAAAGTCTACTCAAACACTTGAGATGTGCCAGTGTTACAAGGTTAAACACTAAACAACACTGTAGATCATTCACATGGAAACAACATCTTTATTAAAGACAAAGAGCTTTTGCAAGTCCAAAAAGACTTTTTTTTTACAAAAGGGTCAACTTAGACTCAGTTTTCAATTTTATGGTTTTACCAAAATGTATAAGGACAATTTAAAGTATTAATTTATAGTCATAAAAACAGCAGTTTAAAATATATTTTCCATTACATTCAATCCACCACAAACCAGATATATTTACACAACCATTCCTTTTGAATTACAACAAAAACAAATATACTTACAGGCAGTTTCCCCTCCAATGCACATAATGCAACATGGCTGACAGTTTGGGCCTGACAGCTGTTATTGTGGCTTGTTTTTGGAATAAAGGGCACAAACATTTATAGTTTTCTTCTTTGAAAATCTGCCGCTATTGGTACCGTTGACTTCAGATGAATATGAAATCATAACCATTACATCCATATTAGTATAGTATTAAAGCACACTAGGTGTTATTGATCCTCTAAAATGGATCACAGTGAGTCACGATGGGACCGTGAAAGAGGTTTCTTTTGTCGTAGGTGAATGAAGGTTAGCTACAGTAAACAGCCACTTTCACGTCATAGGTAATTAGCTAATTTCCAGATACCCACAGCAGATAAAGGTGAACAGTTTACAATAAGAGACTAAGTCTTTAATTTTTAAGTTATACAATGAGATACCGTATTATCAATAAAAGATGCTAAGTATTTACAATCCCCTCAGAGAACTGTATAAGTGTTATAGTCGCTGACTGACATTAAAATGTTACCATTTAAAAAAACTTGTATATCTATATACAACTTAGCCCCCTCTGGTTGGCATACATACATTTTTGAGGTGATTCAGAGTTATCCTAGTTAAATAGCCACAAATAAATCATCACTTGTAAATAGAGCATCACATCAATGTTTCATTATGGCACTGTTTTTTAAAATATAAATATACTGCTAAATGCAAAAATAATCTCCATCGCAAACTAAATCTCAGTAAAACTGCAAAACTTTCCTCTGTACTGTGCAACCTAACCAGCCAGGGAGAGACATTACTCTTCCCCTATGAAGCGCAGTTAGCCAGTGGAATGCTTACAGACATCCTGCAGGTAGTATGTTGTGGTCAGGTGACTCAGTACACAGGTTTGTATACAATCTGTCCAGCCAGCACTCTGCGTTTCAGCTCGGTCCACAGCAGGCTGCGCTCTCTCTGCGATCCCTTCATGAAGCCTCGGTTCTCCTGAGCGCGGCGCGACAGATACGGCATGACCTCGTTGACGGGGCCGTATGGAACGTACTTGTAGACCGGGAAACCTGCTTGACCTGTTTTCAAAAAAGAGGCGTGTCTTAAATCTGTGTTCAATATATCCACCCTGTGTGCATTCCATGTTATGGCTTAGTTTATATCCACATTGACACATTTTCATACATTTAATGGTGCTGCAACGTAACTTGGGTGGGAGGCTGTAAAACTGAATTAATGTTAACTCTGTAAACTGGAATAATGCTGCAGTAGATTAACACATTATCTTTTTCATTTGGAAATAAATGTATGCTGAGACAATATTGTCACACTAGCAGAAGAGAGGTTGGGTTAGTTTTTTTTCTAAATGAAAGCCCAGAGCCCTTCACTGACATTAGTTTTAGTTTGAATTAGAGTGGAGAAGTACCTCAGTTATATGTATTTTGTGTCTCACTTGCACATTTAGATAGACTAATATGGTTTCGGTTCAGCTAGCAGTCTGCTTAACCAAACATAATGTGCATAGATTGGATGGATCATTGGAAATAACAGTTGAAGGCTGACGTGTGTGTGTGTGTGTGTGTGTGTGTGTGTGTGTGTGTGTGTGTGTGTGTGTGTGTGTGTGTGTGTGTGTGTGTGTGTGTGTGTGTGTGTGTGTGTGTGTGTGTGTGTGGTGTGTGTGTGTGTGTGTGTGTGGGGGGACTTTGTTGTAGTAGATTATGTGATGTAAGCCTCTGTATTTCCATAACTTGCAGTTTACTTTTAGTAACTGAGCTGAGTTCGATATACCTAGCGGGAAGCTAATCTGGTCACACATGCCGAGCAGCTGTCCAAAGTAAATCTTGTTCTCGGCAGGAGATAGGCCCATCTCATTCATTCTGAAAAACAAAAAGAAGAAGCAGACAAATGAAAAGGCTGTTATACAAACAGAGTTTAAGTGTGGTATTCCACCATTGATTGGCAATCTCGTTCTGTAAATCCTATAAATGTCTTGGAAAGTTGACAAAGACATTTTTGGCTTAATTCAACATCCTGGGTATTAGTTTAAACCAATTGGATTAATCTTTAATGAATGAAAGGCCTAAGGTTTGTGTGTGTGATCAAACTAAATCTACACTTAGTACATGCCAGTTTTTTTTTTCACTTTCTCATGCATGTCTTTGGCAAAACATACTTTTCAAGGGTGTAATTCACTGTGTCCTCATTGTGAGTTGCCACCATGACATTTGCTTTCCTGCTGTGATCGATCTCCTCCAGCACATACTCCAAACACCTGGATAAACAACAGGGCAGATGGTTAGGCTTTTAGACATTTTCTAGCTGAGTCTGAAATTCAAAACTCACTTGTGATACATCCTGTTGGTGGCCTCATAGTCGGGGTTTATCGGGTCTTCGTAGCCGATCTCTTTGGCCCGGTCTCTCTCTTGGTACATGTAGGCTCCACGGACCAGTTTGGCACCAAAGTACCAGCCCTCCCGTCGAGAAAGCTCAACATCTACTGTTACATTGTCATAGGCGTCCTGAAAGTGTTAAAAACATATAATTACTTGACTATCCCGCCATCCTTAGAAGGCTAGTGACACAAAAACTATATTTAAATAGAAAAGGTGTATATTAAAACTGTACACAGGAACAATACATAAAAGAAACAGAAACAGACTGGAATGTGACAACTCCCCTGCTTGACTCCTTCTCTTTACAAACAATACTAAAGTGACTCACTGACCCAATTTTTTTAATTATTTTTCTATGCCTGTCTGTGTTTTTTTCTTTCCTGTTTGTATTCCATAAAATGTAAAAATGCAATAAAAAAAAATGTACTAAGAGAAATGACACTAAAGATGATTTGGGTTTCACAGTTGAGAGAAAAAATATGTTTTGTAAAAATTATTACAAAATATAGTAATGCTTAGATGTTGTTAGAAATGGGGGTCTCACCTTGAGGTAACACTGGTAAGTGTTAAAGATGATGGGCTTCTCTCTGTTGAATTTCCTCTGCATTTCCAGCGCCAGTCGACTAATAGCAGGTTGGAAGTACGTCTGCTCGGCGTCCACCATCAGCCTGACCCCGTTCTCCACGGCATGCTGGTGCACAGAGAGTATTTACCGTTACCATGAAACTCATCATTAATGTGCAAGGCAAGACAAGTAAAGTCCCAATTCAGTTCTAATTTAATTGATTTCCTTGAACCAGGTTTAGATTTTTGTGTTGCCATGTATAATTATTTATATGTTTTGATATCTTTACCTTTGCCAGAACATCCACTCTCTGCAGCATTCTCTTCATCTGACTCTCCTCCTCAGCTGTAAACGTTTTCATTAAAGGTTCCAGATGGCCTGTCTGCAGAACAAACACACAAAACACAGAATTATTTTTGAACTTGCTATTCAAGCGATCATTATGATCAGGATAAACCTGCTAACTCTATCAGTGTGTGACAGGCTGGGCAGGGGTTGGGTGGGTTAGAGGAAGATCAGCAGGAGTGCCTCAGCCATTTTGTCCTTTTCCAACCGACTTACTCTGCAGATATGTACAGAGCACTGTCATACATTTCTTTTCTTTTTTACTTAATCAGAAATGTTTTTTACTTACGGGAAGAAGATAGGATATTGCGCAAGCAACAGTTATAATCTGGGAAGAATGTCCATTTCTTATGGAAACCAGAACTGCATGAACTCCACAATATGATAAAGAATTCCAAGTTCTTATAGAGGAGCTAAAACATTCTACTTACTTCCAACTTATCGTGTCCACAACTGTCTGTTCATGAGACCATTATGTGTAATTACACGTATCTGTAAAAAGTAGGAGTCTGAAAGGTGTATTTCAGAAAGTACCTCGAAAGAACATGTCTGCTATCAAATGGTGTATCACTTTTGGAAACATGCCCTTTTGAAGGTGATATGAAGGCCTTATGTGTTGGCGACAGTGTACAGATAAGATAAGAAATGGCCAGACTCATTTAACACTTACTAAACTGCCTCAGACAGTTCCTCTTTCCCTTTCAGAAACTGGACATAGCACTTCATATTTACATGACTCACCTCTAGGTTTGGCACCATAAGCAGTTTGGAGATTGCTGTTGTATCGTTTATCAAACTGTTCCAGTCCAAAAGGTCCAACGTTCTGGCAAAAAGAGAAGAGAAAAATGTTAAAATAAAAAAAATATTACTCACTAAACAGGGTTTCAAGAACTTAAGCCCAGTTTGCTTATCTGAAGTATTTGCACTAATGAGTGTGTATCTTACCCTGACACACCAAGCTTCTCTCCAGTTATCCAGTTATCTATGTCGTCCTTGGCTCCAACACCCATTTCAATCAAACTTTCCTAAAAACCAAATCAGAATCAGAAACGGTTTTATTACCAGGTAGGTTCTCACACGTACGAGGAATTAAACTTGGTGTCGTGGTTTCATACATAAGAGTAAAACAAGAATTACAAAACAATGATAGAGAACTATTTTAAGAACACTATAGTAACGTTAAAAAAAAATAAGAATAAATATAGTAACATTACAAATTAAATAAAGCAAATGTTTCAATCATTAAAAACATTTCAGCCAAGTATTGTTTTAACAAATGCTTTAAGTCACTAAGGCACAAGCACAACAGGTAAGACCCACCTTGAGTTGTTCCAGCTCCAGCTTTTGTTCTAAAACCTTCATGTCAGATTTTCCTTGTTGTGCTGAGAGGACTTTAAAGAATTGCCTCCATTTAACCAGGACTTCGGAAAACTGGAGCTGTTCAAACACAGAACAATTCATAAAATATAAATGCACTAAACCACTGCATTTGAATCATCCTGAGATGTAGTTAGTACGACACATCTCTACTCTATTCACTTAAGAACAATCTTCATGCTCACTGTCTCTTACAGACACATACTGTTCATTTTTATCTGACAATGTTAAGACAGTGTGACTTGTTTCTCCCTTGACTCAAGACACGTTCTTTTTTTGTGACCAACTTTTTTTTTTCTGCCCTCACAAAGGGACTTATATACACAGATACAAATTATATAGACAATACAAAAAGAAAAGGAAAAGACAAAGAGAGAAATAAAAAATATAGGGAATCCCTTTCCCATGCCACCCCGTCCCTCCCCCTTCCCACCCATCTTGCCATTTCACAGAAAATCCTACCTGATGTTTGTTAGCAATCGTCGGAGTTCATCTATCTATTATATTATTTATATTATTGCAAAACAATGTATCCACATAAAATACATTCATACCTTTTTTTTCCACATAACATTTCATCTGTTTAAACTGAATTGAGATTAACTCCTAATAATCCACAATTGCACCAAGGTGTGCATATATGTACAATCATAATTTACATGAATGATATTGCCAGATCAGCAGCTCTTTGAATAGCCTCTAATGTTTCCCCCTTAGCCTTATTAGCAGAAGCGATTGACAGCTCTGAGATTAGTAGGTCATGGAAGGATGATATCCATTGCTTAATAAATAAAGTATGTGGGGGTTTCCATCGTATTACAATTATTTTTTTGGCTGCTGTTAGACCAGCGAAAAGCTCAAGACACATTCTGGCAGAACAGTGTGTACACAATAATGTGAACCTATAATCATACTAATCAATTGGCATTGACTCAAAACCATGAAGAGATAAATGAATGGCTAATGTTTTAATTCCCCCGTCATAAAATCTGTGTGCTTTGTTATCGATAGATCTGGCAGCACTGCTGTTGCATTTCAATGCCAATCACACCTTTATCTAAATATCTTAAAGTATTTAAAGGCATAAAAGTTCAACTTACAAGGAACTGTGGCCGTCCAAGAGCGGTCATTTTGATGGCAGAAAATCCATCTGTTGAGGCTCCTCCTGAAAAACATTTTATTGTCACCAGATGTTAGAGCCAGTCCCTTTTACAGAAGTTTTATAGCCACTATATAATAACCCAACAACCAAAATGGTTCTGCATGGCTTCCTCAGGAACTTTACTACTCACCAGAGGCTTTAATGCAGTTAATGAATGTCTCCATTTGATTGTCACATTTGGATTCATCTGCATAGAAGTAGGTACGAGCACTAGTGACCCCTCCACGCCTGTCCCCAAACTGACGATGGGCTTGGTATTTCTTTTCGCGATGATCCGCTCCTGAGGTGAGAGAAAGTAACAGTAGCTGCTTGAAAAGTTTTCACCTTCAGCTTTTTATCCATTCCTGTATTATGAAATACTTTAAATATTGGGGTACTACGGAGCCCCTAAAGGGACATGGAAAAAAAAAAAAGAGAGAGAGAGAAAAAAGGGTACAATGTTTCATAACATTTAATAACAAATAATAATAATAGTTTAAGCCAAAACATGTTCGGCAAGACAACATTAACATTTTAAATGAATATAAAGTATTTTCTCTCTTTCTTTAGAACACTTTACAATCCTACAAACTTTAGTTTTGAGTACTTTTATTTATTTCTGCCATATAAATATATCACTAGTAAAAATGTATGATTGTACTACTTTTATCAATATTACTGATAGAGACAGTGATTCTGAGAAAATGAATTTACGAACTACCATTTCTCATTAATAAATTAACATTTAATTAGGACATCAGTAAGTTTAACTCCAGGTCCAAGCACTGCATCATTTTGAATAAAATGTAAAGAGAGAAAATGTTTTAATGTAAATGTTATGACATGGATATGGGACTTATCCATGTCATAACATGTACAACCCCCAGTATTGGCCCTTCTATATTTAAAAGCAAATGTAACACCAGCATTGATGTGTTCCTCACAGTTTAGTCATGTGATTTAGTTTACAGCTCATGAAAAGCCATTGAAGTATGCAGTACCAATTTAAATAAGACCTGAGAGAGCACGTGAATGATATACTTGAGCTTCCAACGTCAGCCCCGTAACCTGAACCAAGCGCCTCTCTGTAGCAGCAGGGCGGGACATTTCTGATCTCACTAAATCCAGATATAACCAGTTCTCCCCAGGCTAGCACACATGGCTGGTTTGCAAGACATTTGGAAATATATCAGTTACACTACATTACAATACAACACCCTTTTCAAATCCTATACACACCTGGACTCTCTTTCTCTGCTTCAGAAACACATGAACTGAAAACAAAAAAAAGATTATAATTATTAGAATAGAACAGCAAGTTAAAAGGCTACCTAAAGTGCTTTATTTTGCTACAAACAAATGATTATATCAAGATATTATCGGCCATCTAACCTATGTTTTATTTCAGTTTTATAACTTTTTAATATTCTAATGTGATCTAGGAAGACAATCTTGAAGGATATAATGACAGAAAAAGATTTTTATGTTGAGGAAAGTAAAATGTGCCAGTCCTTCTGTGCCCTCTTACAGGAGTTTCCTATACGTGTTGTAACATGAGAGACATCATGGAACACACTGAACTACATTGTTCATTGTGTTGTCGTGCTCATACCCCTAACAGTATGTTCGTCCTGTGTTAATTGAAAAGAGTCTCGATAAAGATAATTGAAAAAACATCTGTATCAATTTAGTGTATGTTTGTGCTTTGTGAGAGTAGCTCATTTCCTCCTCTGTAGATTGCGTAACACTTCCGTGTGTGTTCCCCATGAAGGGATCCGGCACATTACTCTAAAAGGCTGGCAGTGTTGTAAGGAGGTAGGCCTACATGCCCCAGTTGAATAACCAGCTTGACCTATCAGAGGAGAGGGGTCGGTCGTGTCAATCCGATAGAGTTTGGCACTGTTGTGCTACTGGAGATGAAATAAGGTCACATAAGTTTTGATTGCAATCGGATGACAGACTGTTTATTGGGAAATATACTGCAGAATGCATGACTCAGTATACGTAGGGTAACGAAAGACCTGAAGAGATAAGATAAGTTTATAGGAATGTTGTTGTATACGTGGGTAAATAAAAGAGTCACAAGATAGTTTTAGGAGACACAACACAAAATGCAGATAGAAAAAAAACGGACGACAAACGCATCAACACTTAACTAGTGTCTTGCAATTATCAGTGCCATATGTTTAGAAAGGTTAAATTACGCTTAGCAATTGGTTTAACCTAGTAGGGGGGGCCAAAGGCAAAATGACCTGTTGAGGCCCTCTGCATAATATTTCCCCCACAGTCAGAGACATGTTGCTTTGGTGTAAAGGCAAAGAGTAACATTCTGTCTAGTAGCTACCCTTAGTTATGTCATTATAACATGAAATAACTTCAAAGTGAAACAGTGCCACTGTTAAGGTATTATTATTATAAATATATCCATCTGGGCTGACCTCTCCTGACTAAATAACTTACTTTGAGCTTTTGAGCAAATCTCTGGTTAACAAAACATTCAAAGCAGTGCTTTCACATGGATCTTTGCGATTAAACTGTTTTACAGATCTGTCCACACAATTAACTGGTCGATTATTCAACAAATGTGTTAGCCGACTAAGAATTTCTCGAGTCGAGGACAGCACTACTTTTCTTTGCAACAATTTCACATTACATATTGTATAACATTCTCTTGCACTATTTTATTTTATCTGTTTTATTTGTTTTATGTCCTATATATATATATTCATGTTGCACTGTTGGAAGACCCTTTTTCATTGCCATATCTACACTGTAGCTAATGTGTACATGACAATAAAGCTTTTAATTGAATATTATTCCTGCATTTGCTCTTTCTAGTGTACAGCTCCTATTTCAACATGCCTTGCCCGGGTGTGGGGTGTCTCTTTTGAAACGGCCCCTTCTTGTTTACTCCTGTTTTCCAATAATTTCTTTGAAAGTATTACTTAAAATAGAGCATGGGCTGGGTCATGAACTTGTATTGTACTTCATGTGATACGGGACTGTACAAATACACTTGACTCAACAGGCCTTGAGTTGAGCATGTTACATAACTGGTCTGGTTGCACATATGGCACACATTAAGGTTGAAGCTGATTAACCGTGCTAGGTTTGGAGCATTAGTACACCACTTCCTACTCTGTGAATTCAGAAATATGAATGAAAAAGCATTACTTACTCCATTTCCTTCTTCTCTGCCTCCTCTTGTGTCAAGTCCTCTTCAACACTATAGTCCAAAACTGCCCCAACACCAAAAGCCTGGTTCTTCCTGATTAAAGGTTTGATGGAGTTGTGGTCTTCCCCTGCCACAAACTGACCATAGAAGGTCAACTTCATGATCTTCTCAAACATCCACTGACCAAACACCTTCTTAGTCAGGTCCATCAACTGAGAAAAACAAGAACAATTATAGTAATTATTATTGTATTATAACAGCAGACTCCATTAGGTAATAGGACATTCTACTCAATGCAGTACTTGTGCCTTTACAATTGGCCTCATTAAGAGCAGTACAAACACTTTGATGTTCTTAAACTTAATTGAGGAAACTAACTCAACTCACCTCTTTGTTCTTGTCAACAAGGACATCAATAGTGCAGAGCTTGAAGACCAGCAGACTTCGAAGCAGTTCAATGTTTCCTTTGCTTCTGTAGGCTTCCTGTGTGTTGTCGAAGTCGATGCTAATTTTATTTAACAGTGTCTTTTTGACATGTGTGCCCTGGCTGATGAGTTCCATTGGCTCGGCTTCCACCACGCTGCAGCCATCGATCTGTTGATGTGTCTCTTCTTTGCTCTTGGTGGATGCCACTGTTGATCGACATCTTCCCGGTGATATGCGTACATTCCTCACATTGCCCGGGTTCGCCCTAACAAGGGCTGCTGCGAACTTAGTGTAAGACATTTACTTTTATTTTCGAGTTACAGACAACAAAACACGAGCTTCCTCTCCTCGCTGTACTGTCGCTATGAGGTTGCCCTGCCAGCGGGCGCTGGGTAGTTTATATTTAAAGTCATCTCGCGCAGAGGGGCGGTGCATCACATGTTACATGACGCTGCGACGAAGGTACGTTTTAACCGTTTGTTTTTTCGTTCTAATTGAAAAAAAAAAAAAAGCAGAAATGGGTCGTTTTTTGGTTTTTAAATTTTGCCCCAAAACGAAAAAACGGAAATTCAGCTCGTTTTTTCGTTTTTTTGTTCTTACTGTTAAAACAAGTATAGCACTCAATGTTTCGTTTCCATAAGTGGGTGTGTCTCCAGCACCTCCTTGCTTCTGATTGGCTAGTGTGCCCTATGCTTGCGCTGTACTCTTCAAAATAAAGGTTCTACGTCTTTGCCTTTAGACTGCGTTACAAATATACGTATATTATTATATTCATACAAGTACAGAAGACAGTCTGTCCGTATGTTTGTCTTTCTATGTATATGTCTGTCTCGATGTCTTTCTATCTCGATGTCTGTCTGTCTGTCTGTCTTTCTGTAACTATATTTTAGAGTTTAAAGCGTAGCCACTTTTACTCCACTACATGTATTTAAAACCTTTAGTAACTTTACAGATTTGGATTAATTATGTAAAATGTAATCAATACTTAAATCAGACTTTAGTTCCACCTGGAGTAAATCCACAAGCTCCTGCAGTATACAAAGTCATTCAAACTCTGCACCTTTACCAGCTTTGAGAACACTTTCTCAATCATTATAAAACACATCATATATATTATTCTGAAATGGACCAATCTGCACAATGACTACTTTTACTGTCGCTACTTTCACAATATTTTGATGAGAATACTTTTCTACTTTTACTTGAGTAACATTTTGAATGCAGTACTTTTACTGTAACAGAGTATTCCTACATTCTGGTACTTCTACTTTTACTCAAGTACAAGATCTGAGTACTTCTACTTTTACTCAAGTACAAGATCTGAGTACTTTTACTTTTACTCAAGTACAAGATCTGATTACTTCGACAACCTCTGATTAATGGTTGATTTCCAAATGTTCTGTTGGTGCGTGGATGATCAAATAATAGTGTTTGATTGTATTGCCTTACGTATGCAGCTATTTGCCTGTGTTTAGAAACATAATTAAACATACCATGGATGGACACACATTCAAACAATTTTCCATTTATTAAACATTGCAGATGAACAATTAACAAGTCTTACAGCTAAAGAAAACTACAACAATAATGTTCTGTATGATGATATCATGAAACCTGGAATTTGAACACACACCACTTAACAATAAACAATAAACTTAACAATAAACGACTGAACTGCTGTCCACTTTAGGGTAGGGCCCTTAAAGCATCCAGTTCTGCAGACAGTCCAGCAACCTGGGTATACACTGGCTCCTGATCCCTGCACTTTTACACATATCTTCTTACAATGCCTATGAGATCCTTTATCCCGTTTTGGAATGGTGCTGGCTCGTTATGAATGGCACGCTCAAAGAGTTCAGCAATGTCCGCATAGTTCCTTGCAAATTCTTGTTCAGCTGCTGTCTGGTGCTCCACAGTGGCAAATGGGTTTCTCCCAAACAGCGACACTCGTGTCAGAGAGGACCCCACTTCCTGATGATAGCAGTCTGCAGCATCTGTAGCTTCAGGCAAAAGATCTGCAGGCAGTCTCTTTGGGCATCCACCATGAGCAAGTTGACCTGGGATACCCTTACCTTAAAAATCTCTGCACTGTATGGCACTGGATTTAAATTCCTTAATCTCTGAGGAATTAAACACAATGTTATTGTTCTCACAATATGTTCACAGCAATGTACAATACAGGAAAATCTAGATGTTTTTTAATAATACCTACACGATACCGATCTGCATGATATGGCTGGTTAGTTTCTCTGAGGACACGACCAACACGCCCCTCTGATGCTCGGATTCCTTTTGAGGCCAGGTAACATCATCATTTTTCTTCCATATGTTGGTCCAGTCTGAATTTGTAAACACAAAACTAAAACTAAATAGGACCACGGTACGTTTTAACCGTTTGTTTTTTAGTTCTAATTGAAACCAAAAAAACCCCAGAATAGTTATCTCATTATTATTTACACAATTATGTCCAAAGTTATTAGTGAGTATTTCTGTCACATCCTTGTTAAGCCTCAACTCAGCTCCTACGTCTCAAAGAAAACCCATAATTCAGAGCTCGTTACATTTGTTTGTATTGTGAGAATAATCAATATACAAATGAAACCGGAACTTTAGTCCACTGATGTATTGTTCCCCCACGGACAAATATCGAGGGTAGTAGCTTCCGGAACCGGAAGTTGCATTGTTTTTAGCATTCACAGTAGGATGTAGCATATCAAGCAGCATTAGTGAAGAGATGGATACAACGTTACATACTAAACACACCGTCTCCAACTGCCACTCATCGATGCTAACATATCAACTGTTACTATATGGTTAACTATCATGTATACAGCTATTTAAATGCTTATGAATGGATGTTTAGCTACGTCAATAGAGCAGGGTTGCCAACTTTGGGTACCTGGCTGGAGTGAGATTTTGATATCATGGGTTTAATTACACATCTGCACACGAAATGACTGCTATCGTGTCAGCAGCGGGACCTTAGCATATAGGATATACATATACAAATACACAATATTGGACACAGACTATAAAGGGCACACAGTTTAATTCACTAATGAAAGTCAAACACATCTTTGTTTCCACTGTTTTATTGTGTACTTATCGGCTTATCCGGAGTGTGTTGGGTAATCTATGGTAGGGCTAACCCATGCAGTGGTGGGGCTCAAGTCAGTATTTGCAATGTAATTACATACACGCTCCCCTTGACAGCGAAACGCCACGCGTGAGGTTTAGATTTTTTCCCTGTCTCAATCCAAATTGAACTGTATGAAATAAAAAGGCACATTTGTCTTGTAGTAAATAAAAAGGGCGACCTGGAGCCAATCCTGCAATTTCCTCACAGGTAAAAGAGTTGACATGCTGAAAACCCAACCCCTGCAGGGGGGTCTGGGGGGATTCTCCCCCAGGAGATTTTTTGAAATACTAACATAAAATACACATTCTGGTACTCTCTTGAGAAAATAAATAAATACATCTATTACTACACGACATATTTAAATGAAGCTGAACCTGCTGCTCCTCACAGAGAGAAGAGGGAGGAGGCTGTGTGAATTACTTTACATGGTGGATAAGGGTGAATAACCCCCATTGTTCTGTGTGTCAAAATGCAAGACAGCCCAAACACCTATCAATCATCAAACCGTGGGGTCTTATTTCATTATGTGTTGATTTCTATCAACATGTAATGTTGTATCGATGTATATAGAGATGTACTACAGCAGAAGTATTCTCAGTCGGGACTTCCTGCAACAACACCACGCCGTTATCTTGATTCTGATTGGCCAGAAGACATTATCAAAGATGTTCTATTGAGAAGACACTCACTGCGTGACAACAGTTTTCAAAACCGTTTCTAGTCTTCGGTATTCTTGTTTTGGCGTGAGAATAGTTTGGGCAGCGTGAGAGCGTGAGAGCGTGAGATTGAGAGTGAAAGCGTGTGTCACACGCCAGATGCGTGAGAGTTGACAACCCTGCAATAGAGGGCAACGGAATATGACGCCGCCAACCAATGGGAGAATACTGGAAGTACCAGAGAGTTTATAATCGGAGCTGAAACGTTTATACGGCCCCTCTCCGGTCGCAGCATCAGAGGAACGTCATGTTTACTATAATTAAAACCCTGTAAATTTTACAAGAAGTTTCTTGGATTCTTTCTGGCCATTTACTCCTCCCAGCATTCCGAAACCCAACAGTAGGCTATAGAGTCGTGCAGTGACACGTCCTAAAATCATAAATCTTTCGATTCGATTTATGATTATAAAATTATAAAAGTAGGGTAGACATGTGGAGATTATCCGACTGAGCAAAACGTGATCCGTCTCTTAAATGTGTGTCAACCACAGACATTATTTCGAGCTATTTTCCAAAATCCTATGGCGAAATTGCATAGCTTTTTGGTCGAGGGAACCAGAAGGAACTTACTTCCGGGTTTTAGGACGCTTCACTACACCACTCTATTATGTAATAAGTACAGTACTTGAGTAAATCTACGTAATTACTTTACGTCACTGAATTAAGCCATAGGCCTACCTCACCTCAACAGCTGCTTTAGCAACCTCTACTTCCAGTTGGGAATCGTGCACTCGCTCTCTGCCTATACCATTTTGGGTACAAAAGCGACACAAAGACAAAGACACAATGACTGGACCCATGTTTTCCTCCTGCTGCCGAAGCATCGTGGGATGCAGGCTCTGTGTGGAGGAGTGGAGGATAACATCTCCCCAATGCCTTAAGTGCAGGGATCAGGAGCCAGTGTATAGGTTGCTGGACTGTCTGCAGAACTGGATGCTTTAAGGGCCCTACCCTAAAGTGGACAGCAGTTCAGTCGTTTATTGTTAAGTTTATTGTTTATTGTTAAGTGGTGTGTGTTCAAATTCCAGGTTTCATGATATCATCATACAGAACATTATTGTTGTAGTTTTCTTTAGCTGTAAGACTTGTTAATTGTTCATCTGCAATGTTTAATAAATGGAAAATTGTTTGAATGTGTGTCCATGGTATGTTTAATTATGTTTCTAAACACAGGCAAATAGCTGCATACGTAAGGCAATACAATCAAACACTATTATTTTATCATCCACGCACCAACAGAACATTTGGAAATCAACCATTAATCAGAGGTTGTCGAAGTAATCAGATCTTGTACTTGAGTAAAAGTAGAAGTAATCAGATCTTGTACTTGAGTAAAAGTAGAAGTACTCAGATCTTGTACTGGAGTAAAAGTAGAAGTAATCAGATCTTGTTCTTGAGTAAAAGTAGAAGGACTCAGATCTTGTACTGGAGTAAAAGTAGAAGTAATCAGATCTTGTACTTGAGTAAAAGTAGAAGTACTCAGATCTTGTACTTGAGTAAAAGTAGAAGTAATCAGATCTTGTTCTTGAGTAAAAGTAGAAGGACTCAGATCTTGTACTGGAGTAAAAGTAGAAGTAATCAGATATTGTACTTGAGTAAAAGTAGAAGTAAAGATCTGAAAGAGTCAGTGCCT